TTTACTCTTTAACAGCAGTATAAGGTGCTTAGGTTAAATAGTTCCTAGTAAAACAAGATAGAAGGTATATATAGTGTAAGATATATAATTAGTATTCCTTTTATTAAAAAGTAGTAATGCTGCTTAGTCTATGTAAGTATAAACTAGACTAAACTTTAATTATAACCTTCTAATAATAGTTAGGATCTAAACTATATACATAGGGTATTCTAGTTGCGCGCTCTGCGCGTTGTGCGCGCTCCCAACACTGTTGTCCTTAGCAGCGCACATAGCATGCATAGCATGCAAACGTTCTTTGCTTATTAGATAACACATTCTGCTATCTACTAGTCTAACAACTCTGTCTATTCTTTGTCCGTTAGATCACGTGATTCGCGGGGTAAGAGGACAAGGGGATTCCAGCCTTGTTCGTCTAAACAGTGGGGCATGACTGGCTGGTAGCTTACAGTCTAATCATGGATCGTAACACAGAGTAGCAGCACATAAGTAGGCAGCTCTTTTAGCTTTATTAAGCTATAAATATATATTAGTAAAAATTATAAATAAGTTTAAAGTTATTTTTAAAGCTTTTAAAGGTAATAACTTATAACGTACCTAACAGGTTGGCCGGCCACACAGGTTGGCTGGCTACTTTTACTAAGCCCCTACTAAAACTACCCTATTCTCTTGCAAAACAGCCTACTTTAGCCCTATATAAAGTAATACAACATAAGATATTATTTAAAGTCTACTTTTACTACTTACTTATATGTATGTAAGTTATGCCTAGTTTAATTACACTACTTATATTGCCTTTAACTTAGCTTACTTTTTTTAGTGTGCACCTATGTCTTTAGCTTTTTTCTATTACTACGCGCTCTAAACTCCTTTAGAGTAGTTAAATAAGCTTTATACTTAACTATTAAAGTATTTTTTACTTAAATCTACTTTTTTTATGTAATCTATATTATGTAGTAGCCTTATTTACTACTTAAAGCTTTATAATCTTATAGCTTACTTTATTATATTAATGCTTTAAATAACTATTATCTACTTTTTATTACTTTACTATATTACTTTTAGCTATTTTTATTTCTCTAAAGCTATAATAACTGCTTTAGTTAATATCTAGCCTATTATAAAGCTTAACTTGTTAAAGTTATACTTGTCTTTATTCTAGATACTGTACTTAGCTTTTATGTTAGCTACTAGGTAAAACTAGCTTTAGATAACCTTTAAATTCTTTTAAAGCACTCTTTTATAATTATACTTATAATTAAACTTTATTATAAACTTAAAGTAGTGCTTAACTTATATACTAGGCTAGTTTAAGCTAGCTAGCCTAGATTACACTCTACAAGTAAGAAATTAGCTATATTAGCTATAGCTACAAGCTTAGAAAGAAATCTATGTGTAATAAGCTTAAGTATGTACTTAACAACTACCTTTTTTTTAAGCTTAGTTAGATTTCTTAATTTAAGCTAGCATTTTACTTATAAAGGCTGTCTAGCGCATTAATTACTTAGTGTTATATAAAAAATATTATAGATAGCTGCAGCGTGTTGTAAAAAGAGTTTTAAGTCTTATTTAAAAGCTTAAAGAGCAAGCTATATCTAACGTTCTTTAGAAGATTTAATCTAGTGTTGTTATTAAGGCATTATATAGATAGGTAGAGTTTAGTAGAGGCTTGGCAAAAGTGGCCAGCCAACCTGTGTGGCCGGCCAACCTGTTAGGTACGTTATATAGTATATTAGTTAGACTTATATAAAAAAGAAGCTTAAAAAGTAAAAAAAATTATTTACTTTTATTATAGTAGTTATAGCGCGCATGTAACCTACGCTGCTTAGGGAAATAAGCATTACACTGCCTAAGGATATAAGCATTGCGCTGCCTAAGGATATAAGCATTGCGCTGCCTAAGGTAATAAACACTAGAATTACTAAAAACAACATGTAATTAGTAGAAGTATAAGGTAAACACACAGCGCTGCTCTAATAAGCTAAGTTAACGCTCTACACAGGTAAGCAGCTGCGCAGCTTACCTAGAGGGTGTGTTGCGTACGCTAAGAGCCTTAGCTAGGGCTTAGAGCCTAGAGCGTAGCTTAGGATCTAGAGATAGTATGTTCTAAAGCTTAGTGTATATAAGAAGAGCCTTTAACTCTTCTAGATAGCAGAGTCACTTTATCTAATCTTCTAAACAGCTACTGCTAGGCTATTTTATCCTCTATAAAAGTTAAGACGTAGAAAAAGCTTATAAAGTAATAAGGCCTATAAGGTCTTATCTTTATATAGTAAAAAGAATACAGGCAAGTAACAGCACATAGATAATAAACACGCGTAGACTAATAGGCAGGCTAGTAAGGCATAGTTAAGAGTAAAGAAGATAAACATTAAAAAAGCTTTTATAAAAAAGAACTTACTAAGTCTTAAAAAAGTCTAACACTTGCAATAGTATAAGCATAATAGTAAGAACGCTAATAAAGAGAAAAGCCTGTGTGTTATAACTTATAATTAGGTTGTAAGCTACTAACTAGAAGTGCCCTACTATTTAGATAAACAAGGATAGACTCTCTAGATCACCCTGCCAAGCGCGTTACATAACGCAACAGACAATAAATAGACAGTGCTAACAGACAGACTAGTGAGTAGGTGTCTAGCCTAATAGAGGCCTGCAGGTTGAGCGTAGTGCGCGCTGTTAAGCGCAGTTGCACGCTACACGCAACTATAATTATATATAATTAACTTTAAAAAACCTATATATATAGTTCTAATCTTAACTAACATTAAAAGGCTGTAATTAAAGTTTAGTTTATTCTATAAACTAAGTAGCATTTTAACCTTATAATAAGTTATAATACTATCTGTATATTTTACACTATATATACCTCTACTTCTTTTCTTACAAACTGTTTAACTAAGCGCCTTATACTGCTGTCTGAGGTTAAACCACGATCTGGCCACCCTAGCATCTCCATCCTCGAGCCATACCAACAACCGTACATCCAAGGCAGGCTCCCCTACTCTCACCCTCCACCCATTACTAGCCCGCGTGCTCTCGGCATTCTAAAAGGGACTCTATCAAGCAAGGATTGTAATACTTTTTTAAAAAGTTTTAAGTTTATGTTACTTCTTATATAATTAAGTAGTAGTTTTAAATATAAGATATAAAGTAACACCTTTCTACTAAAGTTAAAAATAAAGTTAGAAATTAAATCTAAGTGCTATTTTTTTTATAATAATTCTTATAAATTGTTCTATCTTAGGCTGCTTAGAACCTATCTAAAGGGTCTCTGTATTAGCTCTAACCTTAACTTAACCCTGTCCCTTGTATTTACTCTTATTCCTCTAAGTATTTAGTTGCACCTCTTCTCTTAGCTAGCTTAGTAGTTTTCTAATATCCTTTTGTACAAGGCCTATAGGTGTTAATAGAATTCCTAGGTTATTAAGTCCCCACGCACTTCCATATGCCTCTAAGTAGATTCCTACCGCATTTAAACCTATTGTCTTGCCTGCGCTGTTACATTTTTAAAGTTAAGCTTAAAGATCTAGATATATTTAATATACTATATAATAAAAGCTTTTAAATAAAGTTACTGGAAGTTTCTAAGGAAAGTATAAACGAGCTTAGTGCCCCGAAAGTGGGCCACTTGGTGCTAGACACCGGGCCATGTGGAAAGGGCTGGGCCACTACAACAGGAGAGTGACATGAATCGAGGACACCAGTTGTCACAGATCTAGGCCAATAGCTGGCTTGCTCAGGTTTGATCAGGCTACCAAGACCAGCTCTGGCTTGCACAGCCACGAGCTTAGGTTGCTTTGTCACTACTCGGTTTTAACCCTTTGTATGCTAAGGTTCGAAAGCGGAAATAGACTTTGGTGAGGTCAGTTTTCCCCTAAGAGTATATCGCATACAGTGCGCGTTCGTGTAGCTGATTAATCCGAGGGACAGTATGAGACCAAAATAGGCCTTCATGTTGAATTAGATATCACGGCTTTTATGATTCATATCTAGGCCTTGCGTTAACATGACGGTCTACCGTCTTATATAACGTAGATTGTGATCTCGCCTAATTGCTCTTTTCATTCTACTTTCTCCTAAGTGGATACCATTGAATTGGGACACTTACTGTCCGCTAAGCAATCTGGGTCCATGTTAGGCTACTTCTGCCTATTGGTGCACTCAACATGGATTACCTGCGATATGCAAAGCATGATTCCTCGAGGTTAGGATCATGTGCTCCTAGCCCTACGCTCGTGTTTTGCTCTCATTTTAGTTTCGTATCAATAGTGCTACAACACCAACCGGTGTTGTGGATCCAGAGTTGCAGCAAGGCGGATTTGCAAGGGTTTTATCATTGTCGTACAGAAGCTGGCGGTTTCGGCCGAACGCCTCGCAAATGAAGTGCGAATGTTCTTAATCGTATATTAATTTGAGCGAAGCAGCCACCAAAAATCCGCCGCCACACCTCCCTATCGTAAATCTGCCGTTGAAAATTTGCTAAGATCCCACGATTAGCCTCTTGTGTAGTGACTAAGTAACTTAAGTTCCAATGCTTTGAGTGTTAGCCAGGGCAGGAGGTTTGCTGCTGAGTTAACTAATAAATGTTAATCCATCTTTTTTAGTCGATTTAAAGCGCTTAACTGTCTGTAGAGAAACTGGTCCTTCTCAGCTCATAGGGGTCCCATCAGCTGCCCCTGGAAGCCAAGGAGGCTACCTTATTACCACAGCAGTATAAGGATAAGTAACGACTGGGCGAGGTATTAAGGCTAAACAAGTTTGGTCGCAGCGACTTAAGCCATTTAATTTGGAGGTGAGAGCATATTTTATCATTTCTGAAGGCCTGAGGCCGATATGGGTACGAATTATATGAGCAACGAGCAACTAATGAATGTAGTACATACGTATTCGGCGTAACGCAATCAGCCAGTTAAAGAGTGGATAAATTCACAACTTCACCCTTCAGCACCATTATCTCCCCAGAGCTTCACTCTCTCTAACTCTTTTCCTCGAGCTTCTTTTGCTCACCCTGTCCAAATTGCCGGCCCAGGAATAGGATACCGGTTCAAGTTCCGATTTAGGGGTGGCCCGAATGCCGCCTCGTCCATCTTAACTCCGGGTGTATCCTTTGTATAAGCGCCAGGGAATCTGGCAAAATCCTTTGGCGTCCCACCTCCAGGCCCGAGAATGTTGACTTGCGCGCAGTTGACATAAAATTGGGTCCCTAATGTCTCAGGTAGTACGTTGGGATAGATCATCTCAACGCGCATTAGGTAAGTACCGGGAGGCGTGGTGTGAGGGATGGTAAAGTTGAACTATTATCAGTTAGTTCTTGCGCACGGTTTCATGTTGAATTCACCCCACTGCCTTCCCAAAACGAGTCTACAAAATAGAAAGAATGAGAAATGAGAAATGAGAAAAAAGCGAATAGCTCACATCAACTCCATTTTGCAGAGTCCACTTTGTATCGCTTACTGGGCCCGCATACGCCACCTTAAACCATACCCCGTCGCCATCCCATTCAGCTACGCTCACCCCCTTCGGTGCCTTCGCCAGGTAGACCTGCCCGGGGCCAGGGTGCTGAATGCGCGCCGAGAAATCATCCCAGGGCCAGTTCTGCGCTATGCGGAATCCAATTGGCGACCCAGCCACAATATCAGCAGTAAGTGTTTTTGGGGATGGCTTGTAGGCCGAACGTCCACAGCGAAGGTCCAGAGATGCTAAGTCAAATTGCGGGAACGTCTTGTTCCATTCAGGGTGGTTAGGGTACGCCTCAAAGCTATCAGTGCCGAGAGCAACGTCCCTAAGCGGTTTTAGTTAGCGGGGGTGACTTGAAGATTGCTGGCGGACAGGAGAGTATGGTTACCGAACGTATTTCCACGCAGAAAATTGCGTGTTGTTGACAAGGAGATGGGAGAATGTGACTGTAATGGGAAGTCAAATTATTTAGACGCTAGGGATGTTCAAGCAGCGTGGGTCCGTACAGTGCGCTTCTACGCCGTAGACTAGGAGCACCAAGGCTAAAATTACAGATAGCTGCATAGTAGCCGAACCGCATCCAGGTGCAAGATTTAGCTGGAGTTATTGACAGATGAGATACCTATAAAGGAGGTGCAAAGAGTAGTTCTCTTAAGTTCCTAGCTGTCAAATCCTTCTTTTAATTCTTGGAAGGTGTGGGGATTATCAGTGATGATGGTTTTGTAGTGTTGCAGCGAGACGGAAGTTGAGGTGGAGAACGCATTATATGCTACATTCCAGCATGAGCTTAAGAATCTAACCCGAGCTTTAATACCATAATTTACCAACAGGATCAAACATTATTTGCGACATAATTACCAAATACGGTAGCCGGAAGAGGAGTGTTTTGGTTGGGTGTGCTATCACTATAATTTATGCCTACATCGGCAGGCCAAGGCACTGTCTGCTATATTCTAATATATCTTGGCCAGTAACCTGAGCGAAAAAATGCTGCAGATTTATGTGTTTGAAAAGGGAATTAGGCGATTATCCCCCAGACGGGGCGCCCAAGGTGAGTTACCGCACTAATCGAACGTTCCTATGGCTAATGTCCGCTCACCGTTCCGGCACCAGAAGAATAAAACTTGATCCTTGCCCCCAAGCTGCACTCTTTTATGACTTTGCACATCCATTTAATAGGCGAAGCGATACGGAATATCGGACAAGATGTAAAATAAACTTCCATTGCGCTAGGAAAGTATTGATGCGAATGTTTGGAAGGCACAGCAATGACAGCGCGTCAGTGCTGGGGGGGCATCTCGGAGAGAAGCACAAAATAGTATGAATGTTAGCATCATGCAGTCAAGTTTGGCATTAGGGATATAGTTGATATTCTTATGCGGGTATTAGCTCAGTTGCGCACAAGCAAGGGCTTCCACATTATGTGCAACTTCACTTGAGCAGGACGGAATTAATAGGATTAAATGAAGTAACAATGTATCCAAGTGCATGGTAAATTTCCTGTAACATATTCCACCACCGAGCCGGCCAACTTGAAACCTGTACAAAATCTTGCTTACTAAGCAGCTCTATCTCTGTAACTACTAAATAGAATTAGCAAATTTTTTTAACAACAAAGCTGCACCTGTAAACATATTATAATACTAGAATAATATACTTTACAGGCAAGTTACTTACACACCTAAGTTGCTTACTTTTACTAAGACTCTACTAAACTACTTTTTTTACACTAATGCATTCCTAACAACACTACTTAGACATGCTAAAAAAATGTTAGATATAGCTTATACTTTAAGCTTTTAAATAAAATATAAAACTCTTAAAAAAAATGTGCTATAGCTATGTATAAAGTCTTTTAAAAGATAATAAATAACTATAGCGCTAGATAACTTTTATAAGCTAATTTTATAGCTAACTTATAAAGGCTAAGTAATAATAAAAAAAAGGTAATTATTAAGACTATACTTAAGCTATATACATAAGGATTTTTTTTAAATAGCATTTATAGCTAATATAGCTAATTCTTTACATGCTAAGTGTAATTTAGGCTATATTAGCATAAACTAGCCTAGTATGTTTATAAAGCATTATTTAAAGCTTAAAGTAAAGTTTTAAGTGTAAGTATAGTTAATAAATATTTAGCTTATAATAAAGCTTATTTTACTAAAGTTATACATGTTATTATCTTAAATACTATACTTAGCTTTAATATTCTTTATAAGGCTAAACCTACTTTAAATTACTTTAGAACTTTTATAAAAAGCTTTTTTATAGTTATACTATACTTAAATGTTACTTTAAGCTTTAAATAACACTTTCTAAACATACTAAGCTAGTTTATGCTAATATAGCCTAGATTATGCTTAGCATGTAAAAAATTAGCTATATTAGCTATAAATACTATTTAAAGAAAAAATCTTTATATATATAGCTTAAGTATAGTTTTAATAATTACTTTTTTATTATTATTACTTAGCCTTTATAAGTTAGCTATAGAATTAGCTTATAAAAGTTATTTAGTGCTATAGTTATTTATTATCTTTTAAAAAACTTTATATATAGCTATAGTATGTTTCTTTAAAAGTTTTATATTTGATTTAAAAGCTTAAAGTATAAGCTATATCTAATGTTTTATTAGCATGTCTAAGTAGTGTTATTAGGAATGCATTAGTGTAGAAAGAGTAGTTTAGTAAGGTCTTAGCAAAAGTAAGTAACTTAGGTGTGTAAGCAACTTGCCTGTAAAGTACGTTATCTAGCTTCTATCTTATATAAACAAGTAGCTATATAAGAAAACTAGTTTTTAGCCTCTACTTTTTATAATCTCTATAAATACAAATTATAGAGCTTTAAATTTTTCAACTTATTTTTACTATAACATACACTACAGGCAAGTTGCTTACACACCTAAGTTGCTTACTTTTGCTAAGACTCTACTAAACTACTCTTCCTACACTAATGCATTCCTAAAACACTACTGTTATGATCCCTGAGTGGACTATAAGCGAGTGTCAAACGACCACTGATTTGAACAGGAATCAGTAGTAGAACTTCTTCCTCGCGGCACAGCAGGAACGGCACCTTAGGAAGTCACGCGACAACCCGGAGGTCCCGGGGACTCCCAGGCGGAGATAGCGGCTCGGCAGAACGCACGCGCCAAGGAAAGCGCACGCAAACCTAACGTATATAACGTACTTTACAGGCGAGTTGCTTACACACCTAAGTTGCTTACTTTTGCTAAGACTCTACTAAACTACTTTTTCTACACTAATGTATTTCTAATAACACTACTTAGACATGCTAAAAAAAAACATTAGATATAGCTTACACTCTAAGCTTTTAAATAAGATATAAAACTCTTAAAAAAACATGCTATAGCTATGTATAGAGTCTTTTAAAAAATAATAAATAACTATAGCACTAAATAACCTTTACAAGCTAATTTTACAGCTAACTTATAAAAGCTAAGTAATAATAAAAAGTAGGTAATTATTAAGACTATACTTAAGCTATATATATAAAGATTTTTCTTTTAAAGAGCATTTATAGCTAATATAGCTAATTCTTTACGCACTAAGTGTAATCTAGGCTATATTAGCATAAACTAGCCTAGTATGTTTATAAAGTGTTATTTAAAGCTTAAAGTAAAGTTTTAAGCGTAAGTATAGTTAATAGATATTTAGCTTATAATAAAGCTTATCTTGCTAAAGTTATATATGTTATTATTCTAGATGCTATACTTAGCTTTAATATTCTTTATAAGGCTAAACCTATCTTAAATTACTCTAGAACCTTTATAAAAAGCTTTTTTATAGTTATACTATACTTAAATGTTACTTTAAGGTTTAAATAACACTTTCTAAATGTACTAGGCTAGTTTATACTAATATAGCCTAGATTATGCTTAGCGCGCAAAGAATTAGCTATATTAGCTATAAATGCTATTTAAAGGGGAAATCCTTGTGCATATAGCTTAAGTATAGTCTTAATAATTACCTACTTTTTATTATTACTTAGCTTTTATAAGTTAGCTATAAAATTAGCTTATAAAAGTTATCTAGCGCTATAGTTATTTATTATCTTTTAAAAGACTTTATATATAGGTGCAGCATGTTTCTTTAAAAGTTTTATGTTTTATTTAAAAGCTTAGAGTGTAAGCTATATCTAAAATTCTTTTAGCACGTCTAAGTAGTGTTATTAGGAATGCATTAGTGTAAAAAGAGTAGTTTAGTAAGGTCTTAGTAAAAGTAAGCAACTTAGGTGTGTAAGCAACTTGCCTGTAAAGTACGTTAGTTTTTTAAAAAACATAAACTATAAAAGTTTTCTTATTAAAAACTAGAAGCCTAAGTAATATAAATAATAATAAAAAATTTATAAAAAATTAAGAAATAAAATAAGTAAGTATATACTAAATTATAATAGAAACTAGACTCTTAATTCCTAAGAAATACTATAACTATAAGAATATATTTAAAACCTCTAAAGACCTAGAAGAACTTATACTACACTAACTCTAGAACTATGCTATTAACTTAAAACTAAACCTACAACTAAAAACACACAAACTAAGACCTTTTATAAAGGTCTAGAAAAAAGCCTTATAAGAATATGTAAATAAAATGCTAGTAAAATGCTATATAAGAGAAAGTAATAGCCTAAGAGCATTAGCAGTAGTATTTATAAAAAGGAAAAAAGAAAAGATTACAGTTTATTAAAACTACTAAACTCTTAATAAAAACATAATTTAAAACTAATACCTGCTTCTTATTATATAAAACATTATAAATTAGTTAAAAAAAAACTACATATTATATAAAGTGTCTGTACATAAGTACAGCTGCGTCTGTACACGCGTACAGCTAAATTAGGTTGCCTAAAACGTTAGCTATCTAGCCTGTGCGTTAGAGGCTATGTGTACTTAAAAGCCCTCTTTCTTTATATAAAAGGAGAGGGTAGTAGTTAATAATAAAAAGATCTTTACTTACTTACCTTTTAGTACACCTTTTAGGTGTATGTTTATTTAATTAAACTTAGATTAACTAACACTAATTAGTTTATTAATAAACTATTTACTATATATGTAGCTACATAAAGGATATTATTCTTAATAGACAGATTTATAAGGATTAATAAAACTACTACTATATAAACAGCTTACTCCTACTATGTGCGTAGCTACGTAGAAAGGGCTTAGACAAGCATTATACGCGCCTCTAGATTAACTAATTACATAAAGACAAAATTAGCAACCTGCTGCGTGCGTAGCTACATAAAAAGGGCTTACTACTAAGCCTTTACGCGCCCTAGAGCCTCTTGTTAATACAGGCTATGCAACTACTTACCTACTATGTGTGTAGCTATATAGAGGAGATAATATAGGCTGCATAATTAGAAACTTACTGCGTGTGTAGCTATGTAGAGAAGGCTTCTTATTAGAAGCCTACTTTATTAACACCCCCCCTTAATTAATTACCTACATAAGAGGCAATAATTAACTAACACCTTTCTCTTTTCTCTCTTACCTCTCTAGAGATTAATTGCTTGCACAGAAGGTAACTAACTAACACCTTCCCCCCCTAGAGATTAATTGCTTACACAGAAGGCAACTAACTAACACCTCTTTTCCCTCTTTTACCCCCCCTAGGGATTAATTGCCTGCATAGAAGGTAATTAACCTACACTCTCCTCTAAGCTATAGCGTTTTTATACACT